CCCGTGTTTTACCGGGAAACGCAAATTGGACAAAAAAACTCAATACTGCAAATGCAAGCGGCGGGCGTGTGTGTGTGCGCGCGCGCGATTCTGCGCGTGTCTCTAAACATACGCGCACGTATCAGTTTGCGAGTGGTGGCGAGGCGGTTTGCACCCTGCACTGTGACCTCATGGCCTGGGTTCAATGCCTCGGCCGTGCATTTCAGCGGTACGTGATTTATTAACTTGTCGACCCGCCTACCCCCCTCCCCACCACTAAGTAAACTCAGCCTCAAACGAGCGACTGGAAAGATACAGACCGCCAGCCAGCCAGCCATGCTCTTGGTCTTATCATCCCCTTTGTCTACGTGCTGGGCTACAAACATTGCCCCGATGGTCTAGAGCAGTGGCTCATTACCTCAATCCTAAAATTATTTTTTAATAAATACATAGGCTTGATGAAACAGAGAAGTTGTTTCGATTTAAAGCTTTCGTGACTGCAGGGATTCATCTTTTTGGTTCTTTGGGTAAAGTCACGTAGAAGGGAAATAATAAAATAAATAAAATAAACATAATAATTGTATTTTATTATTTCCCTTCTACGTGACTTTACCAAAAGAACCAAGAGGAGAAATTGTTACTTACGCGCCCGTGCTTAATATGTTTTTTCGACGATTCATCTTCTAAAAAAATCTGGCCACGTCTCGCACCCCCAGAAAGGGCATCTGGCACGCCAGGGGGTGGGTGGGGGTGCGAGATGCACCCCAGGTTAAGAAGAACAACTGCTCTAGAGCGTTAAATGTGGGTGGGCGGGGGGGGGGGGTCTTTGATTATCATATAAGGTGGAAGATGAGATGGTGAGAAGCAGCTGCTTGCACTGCGGTCGTGGCTGTCGAAGCCAAAACGTGGAACACGTTGAGAAACGGTTCTCAAAAGCTTTGCTCATTGGCTGGCGGCATCCCAAGCATCCCCACGGGGGCCACTCCACCCGTAACCCCCCAGTGCTCGCTCGACATCCTCGACACCATCCTCCTGGAAAGGAAGGGCCCTTTTGCACATCTTGCGGTGCATGGCTAAATATCTCCAAGTACACGGACCGGGTCCACCCGTTTTTCCCCGTCCACATTTAGAATCAACATCACGATTTCAAGAGTATTTGGCTGCTATAAACAATCCACACGACGATAAGCCCCAACTTCGTTGAGCCGTCGTCTGTGGCCTGGGTCGCTTCTGAAAGAAGAGCTCTACGGCAGCTCAGTGGGGGGGGGGGGGGGGGGCCTTAGCTGGTTAAACAAAAAAAATTAACCCGTAAAAACAAAGTTTTTCACTATAAATCCTTTATATGCGTGGCGGCTAGAGTCCTCTCGTCCTCTGGCTTGAGATGGCTGCCACCTATGGGTCAGATGATTGCCTGCCACCATTAAGCAATTAGTAATTAAATATTTAAAATAAATCCTAAAATGTTGAAAATTTTGGACATCTTTTTTTCACGAAAATAAATTGTCACGCACAACGAGTCTGTGTGCAAAATGTCAGCTCGATTGGATCACGGGAAGCGGGTTAAAAAACGACCAAAAGATTTGCACGGTCGTAAGCGCGCAAGCAAGCAAGTGAACTTAATATAAAGGATTTTAAAAAAGGTGGAAAGAAACAGGAGCGAGCCGAGAGAAAACCCAGGCGTGTGCGAGGGGGCAGTGCTCGCAAGCCTCCCGCTGCCACGCAGCGCACCTTGATGTGGGGATTCTCACTATTGGAACCTCATTTGCCAGTAAAAAATATGATAATTGTTTTTTTACCCTTCTACCTGGCAACAAAACTGACACCTTTTTTTACAAGGAGTCATGTTTGCATAGACCACAATACCTGCAGTCACAATGCAAACAAAAAAATAACTCTGATAATGTGCACTGTCCTTGAAGTTGATTGGTCCACACCCGAGACAGGTTATGTTTTTTGTTTGTATTATGACTGCAGGTATTGCGGTCTATGCAAACATGACTCCGTGGGGATTCTCGTTCGAGGAGGGTGGTTGAGCGGGAGACAACATCAGCAGCAGGGACGAAGTCTGCTTGCCAACCTCACCCGCCATCCACGCCACAGTGTCATGTCAGCGATTCATATTCTTAGGTTTTTTCGGTAAAGTCACGTAGGTAAAAAAAAATTCAATTAATAAAAGTAAAATAAAAATAAAATAAAAAAATAAAAATCACGACGTTTCGGAGGCAACACAAGCTTCCGTCTACAGGTGGAACCGTCACAGCACGATAGCTGTATTAAGTGACGGAAGCTTGTGTTGCCTCTGAAACGTCGTGATTTTATTTTTTATTTTATTTTTATTTAACTTTTATAAAAAAAATTTTACCTACGTGACTTTACCGAAAAAACCTAAGAATATGAATCCTTGCAGTCACGAAAGCTTCAAATCTAGAATCATATCAGGGAGTTCCTTCCCCCTGTGCCGTGGGTATTCTCTGGGCACTCCCCGCCTACGGAGCAATGAAGCGGAGCAAAACACGCACTCGCGAAGAAAGTAAACCTAACATCCCGAGCAAGACACTGACGAAATTCATACTGAAGTTTTTTTTTGTTGGGTTAGATCGTATAAAAGCATTCGCGTTAAACTGAGAAAATTGTTGTTTGCGGCCCGTAGGCTAAACGGTAACGCTGGGTAAACAGTAAATGAATAACAATTGTATAGACGCCACGTATAAGGCGTGTTATTAAGTGTGACCGGTGCACAGCAGCAGCAGCAGCAGATTCTCTCAGGCTGTCGTTAACCGGGCTGACAATCACGCGTCTCAGCAGGAGCTGTCGCATCCTGCGCTGCAACAGCTCCTGCTGCTGCTGCTGCGGGGGGGGGCGGACGATGCGACGTTCAAGCCTGCATTGTGTTCATTACCTCCTCCCCCCCCACCCCACGTCGCTCCACCTTTCGAGACCACGCGACGCTACAGCGATGGCTCTGGAGTATCGCAATCCTTATTGATCATGAATAAATCCGATGAGCTATGAAGCTCTTTGGCGCAGATGTTCAGTAGGAGCGGGGCAGAAAGTTACGACAAACAATGCCAAAAAAAAAAAGATTGGAGTACAAAGCATAGGAAAGGAAAGAAAATCACTGAAAATAAATACGTTAAATATATTAGACGCTTGAATAGGTGGGCTAGGTGAATACATGGGAAGTGCATTCTGTTTGTATGTTTGTTGAACTTCTGGCCTCAAATGTCCGTGATTCTGCTCGGAGTTGTTTTAATGTCACAACCGACGTGGCCGCGATGGAGCCACGGTCCAGTTCGTCACCACCGAGTGGTCCTCAACACTGCTGCCCTCGTCAGCACAGCCTCAATCCTTAAACCAATTCCACCCCCACTCCATGTGCCCCAACCCACGTGACACCCCCTTCCACGTGCCCCCCCCAACCCCCACGCGCCCCCCCCAACGCGCCTTCCCCCCACGTGCCCCCTCTTCCACGTGCCCCCACCACGTGACCACCCCCTCCCACGTACACCCCCCCAAACCCCACCCCCCACGCACCCCACCTCCCACGCGCCCCCTCCCCCCTTGTGTATCTCCCTCCCAAGTGCCCCCCCTCCCACGTGCCCCCCCCACTCACGTGCCCCCCCCCCTCCCACGTGACCCCTCCCCCCAGTTGCCGCTGTTGTTCGTCGCGTCGGAATCGGAAAATCGGAAGCCGCATGCCCTTTCCCCGCACCCTCAAGCGAAGCTACTCAGCAAAAAATAGTCGTGTTGTAGCCCATAGGCTAACATGCAGTTCTGGGTAAATGTTAAATGAATAACAACGTTACATATGTCATTTACACGCTTTAAATATATATTTATATACCATATATATTAAATCCTGGTTGGTCTTTGACTCAGCCCATCATTCCTCCAGGGTCAACAAAATAGGTACCAATTTGTGGATAGGTCCAATAGTGGTTGTCAAATGAATAAACTCGCCCCCCTCCCCGCCCTCCAATTGGAATGCTGAATTTCCACCACGAGTTGTACAAAGGATATTTATACCGACCACCTCAATGCTCATTCGAGCAGTAACAAGTGGCTATGTACGCATGTATGTTGAACTTCTTTCGCACCGTACGTAGCCAACCGTGCTAATGGAACTACGACAGCATGACATGACATGTGTGCACCTGTACCTGTAGGTTTCAATTTCAACAGATGCGCACACACGCTACACACGCTACACATTTGTTAAGGTATATTGTAATGCTGTTGGCAAGGACATATCTGAACCTACGCCCACGCGCATTTTAACGAATGGGAAAACAGTTAACATGCTTCCCTGTGCGAAATCTAAAAAGAGTCCTTTTGTTAGTTTTGCGCATCTTGGCATCAGGATAGAAATGTGCCTTTGCATGTCATACAAACACATGACCTGAACCAGGATGCACAAACATCGTCTACTAATGATAAACTGGACCACGGGTGGCCCAAAAGACAGAATACATAGGCTCATCATATTTATTTTAAGACTGGCATTATTTCAGTTAATATTGCATCGATTATGATCATTAATATGATGATACTATGATACTTTTCAGAATGGAAAGAAAATTTACTGAATTGAGACAAAGCACAATTGATGAATGTTCAAAGATGCCACGTGTGTAATCTTAAAAAAAGTCCAAACTTCATTTCAAAAAGGAATTCATGAATGCATCAGTGTAAATGCAAGTCCATTTAAACAATTGTTAAAACAAAATAAATAACCCTATTTGTCATTTGTAAAAAACAAAATTTCCATAATGACCCTATGTGTCCTGACTTTTAGGCCTGCCTGCGTATGCAAATGATACATACGTAACTTACCGTTGTACTTACCAATCTCTTTCTCACATAGTGGCAGCAGCAGTATGTTGAACTTCTTTCGCACCGTACGTAGCAAACCACGATAATCGGAGGCGCGAGAAATTGTGTCGATTTCCCATAGGGTGTCCCTAAAACAACATGTGCCAGGATTGAGGCCTCGTGCGTCGGAAGTGTTGGAGAGAACTCACCAAAGATGCTGGTGGCGTGCGGAATCTTGGACAAAGGCTGCAGCTCGTTCGCGCCCCAGGCGTAGGTCTTGTAGTTGTCCCACGCAAACTTCATCATCTGAAAGACAAAAGCAAAGACACCGTCTCGTGTGAACTCAAAACAGTTGTAAGGGTGGTACCCATATTAGGAACGGGCTTGGATTCGAATACCACCGGTGAGGAGACTTTTTACCGGAACTATGAACCTCGGATGAAACCTCCGATGGAGAGCACGCCTAGCACACTTGTCAAAGGAACAAGTGATTCATCCACGTAGCATAACACACTGCTGGGACAAGTGCTGTTGGTGAGAAGACCTCCCCCTTTCAGAGTGGCAAGGAACGTACCGTGGTGGTTGGGTGAGCACAGGAGTTCCGGGCAACCAAAATGAGAGGACCAATTTTTTTTTCGAATTCGGTTGAAAAAAACAACAGAAACCTCAGTATTTCAAGAATCGCAATGCGCTGCGTGCTGAATACGAGAAGGTGGTCCTTAAATAAATAACGTCACGAAGGCAGTCCCTAAAGAACTGCACGTGGCTACTGATCTGCAGGTTACCAACCGCTGGGCAAGCGCCATACATGCACCCCTGGCTGGCTCGCGGATCGCCCACCCCTCTCCATGAAGTTTGGTCGGTCATGTTGAAGTCTGGGAAGTTGTACTCGCAACCACCTACTCCCGTTCGGAGAATTAGCACGCGGGGCTCTTTAGGCCCAGTTTATAGCAGAGGGCAAGCTTCTGTTTGCAATGTAGCCCCTGCGTTAGCGCGCAGGGAGGCTGTAACCGGGAGATGAACCAGGCGAACCGGCTGCTCTGCGGTGAGCACAGTTGGTCATCGAGTCGGACCAATCGCTGGTTGGGTCACTTGGGTCATCAAACACATCCTTAAAATAAAGCAACAAAACCCACTAAAGGAGGAAAAGGTTGGAGCCAGGCGCAAACGTCGCAGCGCGTGGGAACAAGCAGAGGCGCTTCATCACGCGTGAGAGAGGCTTGAGACCAATGTCTCTTAATGGAAATCGCTAGCATCAATACGGCACTGCGTTCATCAGCCTGCGAGTAGTGGGAGGTGGGAGGAGGGGAGGTGGAGGAGGGGGGGATACAGGCACCTTTAAAGCGGGGGAGAGTGGGGGGGACATTAATGCCGACCCGCATCAATTATGACTCCGCCTTAAGTCAACAGCCGTTTGCCTCATCAGCAGGGTGAGCGTGGCTCCGGTGAGCGCGCGGCCCCCATTCAGGGTGCTTGGCGGGGCTTTAAGAGAGACAAATCCCTCGACCTTGCTGACCCCACTCGGAGTCAATAGCTGCAACTCGCCCGTCACGTCCCGTTGCAGAAGTCATCAACTCGGCTCAAGCGGCAGCCGCCGCGCATCTCAATTCTGCACCCAAGCGGCTCGCCATCGGCACCGGCCCGGTAGCGTGACTACCATGCCGGGCGCCACGGTGGTGAGATGTTGACTACCTCGCCTGGTGCACAGGATGTCGTGGTTTCGATTCCGACGCCTGCTGCTGTATATTTGGAGTTTGCGGTGTTTCTCTCTCCGTGGCCGCATGGATTGTTTTCTTCCGGGTCCTCCGATTTTTACCTCCTAATTTAGAATCTTGCCTTTAGAGTATTTGGCTGCAATATATTTCCACGTGATAAGCCACTTTGTTGAGCAATCATTTGTTAGAGCCAGGCCGGCTTCTGGAAAAGAGCTATACAGCTCAGAGGGCCTTACCTGGTAAATTAATTGTATAGTTTCATTCATACGAAGGAAGCGTAATAAGCGTGGGGGCTGGGGGTGGCTTGCCCCCGTGGCCAAAGCTACGAGTTGGGGCCCTCTTGACAACCACCATGAGATTTGTTTTCAACGACAGGTGTAAATAAACAACACTTATGAAATGACGCGACTAGGCAAGAGGAGCCACGGTATATAATAGCCTCTAGGTGCGACCGTACGAAGGGACACATCAAATATCGGTGCGCCACCTGACCGATTGCCACAACTCCTTGAGCTAATCGTGGAGTGAACTATGCCACAACACTGCAGTTGGACCAGGAGTTGATCTTCACATAGTCACAGATGTTCCGTGCAAATCGGCCGAACGAGCCGTCACCATCGAATTACCGTACTCTGCGCATGAAAGGTGGACTGAGTTGATGTTTCATCGAGGTTGTGTATTTTTGAGTTCATGTATGGTTGAGGTTGTGTATGTTTGGTTACGTTTTGCTGAGATTGTGACCTACTGGACATCAGTGAAAAAGAGCTTCATAGCTCATCGGATACCTCCAGAATAAATATAAATTCTGATTCTGTGTATGATTGAGGTTGTGTATGACTGAGATCATGCATGAGTAAGGTTGTATGACACCTCGATATGCGTATATTTGAGAAACGAAGTTTCGGTTTCAACAACCTTTGGATGTATTACCATAAATTTATACAGAAAGCAAAAAAATCGGAAAATGAAAAGTACATCGAAATCAATAAATAAAAGTGTAATTCTCCAATCTACAGTACTGTATAAATAATAATAACATTCTTTTCCTTCACTGTTTTTTAACGTCTAAGCAATTTTTTTTAATTTTAATATTGTACAGTATAAAATATGACATTATTTTCAAATTAAATTGTCTTTGATCGGGTTGTTGTCCTTCCCCACGCCTCTGATAGGCACAGTTTGACTATATACGGTGTGAAAGAAGTTCAACATACTTGCAATATGAAAGGTAAGTAATGCAGTGTCTATAGCATGAAGTGGTAAATTACGAAGGGAACACATCCTCATCGTTCTACTCTTATAATGTATCCAATAAGCGAAGTTTCAAGAAATGAACAAAGCTCCAGGAACGCGTCTACTCAATATATCGATGTATTCACTCCACTCACACGAACTTGGCTTAATCGTCGGTGGCTGAAACCCAGACTGGTGGTGCCGTTTCTCACTGCATGATACTGGAGTTACTATCACACCTCCCAGAGTCAGCCATCAACACACCTACATTTTTTTTCACCCAGCCCTTGCCACCCCACTGCTGCACAGAGGACTTTCCACGGCGCTTGTTGCTTGACGGCGCTACACCGCGCTGGTCAGCGTGGCACGGCGGAGAGGGGGAAAGCAAAAGCCGGTCCAGATGTCGATCGCCAGTGACGTTAGCCAGGTTACAAACTCATCTCGACGGGTTTCAAAGTGCGGCGTGCCACCATCCCCTCCACCTCACCCACGTGTATATTACCAATGCGGTATCTGTACACGTGCACGGACACTGTCAGCTGGGTGGCGCGGTGGTAACGCTCGTGGCTCAAAGAAAGTTAGCGCCTGCGTTCAATTCCCAAGTGGGGCGCCCTTCCTGTGTGGATGTTTGTTAAATTCCCCCCATGTTGGGCATGGGTTTCCTCGGCACTCTCCAGTTTACTTCCTCCCTCCTAGAGCTAAAATAACACTCCCCCCCCCCCCCCCCCCCCCGACAAAAAAAACAATGAAACTAGCAATGGCCAAAACATCCCAATGTCGGAAAAAAAAATCACGTGCACATTTGAGATCACACACAGCTGCGGCATCACCCCCCCCCCCCCACCCCCATTTGCCTCCCCCCCTCCCCCAATTACGAAAAACAGGAGGCAGGACCCTCCTGAAAAGGCGTCCTGAGTGATAAGGCGTTCCTGGGTAAACAAGTTCCATCATCATGATCATCATCAAAATAACGCTGATATTTGCACGCAGTTAAGCGTTACTCGTGCCGACACGAGGTCACGCGGTGCCGGTGCTTCGTGCGGCGCTTGTGTCTCCACCACGGCACACGGGACCATGCGAGACTGCCTCTAACTAAGCCGAGAGACACGATGCGTGCCCACACGAATCACGCACCGTGCATCACTGGGCAGGCTCAATTTGCATTGGCGGCCCGTTGACCAATTTTTTTTTTGAAAATCCACGCGATTATCTAAATCCCACGCGTTGAGTCGCGTTCGCGGGGGCTGAGCGCCTATGCAAACACGACTTTGCCCAATCGCTAAGTACGCGACTATATACAGATGCGCCGCTCCACGTTGCTGTGGGAAATTGGAGTGGCTATTCATCCGTGGTGTTTCTAATAATGTTGAAAAAGCAGACATGTTCATGCTCACTCTGTTCACCATGCGGTTAAATTGCAGTATACATGTTTAACGCGTAGGCTTTCGCGATCAATATCATCTATAATACAGTTTTTTTTGTTAGATCGCGTAAATATGAATGTCGTTAAACCCGCCACCACCCGACACAGCCAATTAGTAAGGTTGGTCACTTACAAAAAAACCTAGTGTATATATATAAAATCCATATCAGTGTAATTCACGATTTTTCAGTGGGGGGCCACTTTCGCTGATAAGACATCATCAGTGTGAGGGCCATCACACACTTGAAGCCACTGGGAGTTTGACAGCACAAGGGGGGTGTTTTCACGTGTTGTGTTTATGTCGGGGGCCGCACGCAAGGCTACCAGGGACGGCCAGTGGCCCACGGGCCTTGCAATGAAGAACACTGCTCTACAGATGGGCCATCGCCCGAAACGTCGCCGATTGTATACTTTTTATATATTTTTAAGGTAGCTTTGCTGACGAATGCATTCAGTTCTTCTGGTTATTTGTGCACCACCGCCAACGCAGCAGCAGTCATTCATTATTGTTGTGTACGACAGAATAAGCATCTAAGTGCAGGACAGAATGAGCAACTTAAAAGTTGGAAATAGAATGCAGAAGTAACAAGATGCGTGTGCAGGAGGATAGGGTAGGCAACTTGGCGGTAGAGATTGGTGGGATTCGTGTGGAGGGGGCAGGAGGGATAGGGTAGGCAACTTGGAGGTAGTGATGGGTGGGACTCATGTGCAGGGTGTAGGAGGATAGGGTAGGCAACTTGGAGGTAGAGATGGGTGGGACTCGTGTGTAGGGGGCAAGAGGGATAGGGTAGGCAACTTGGAGGTAGTGATGGGTGGGACTCGTGTGTAGGGTGTAGGAGGATAGGGTAGGCAACTTGGAGGTAGTGATGGGTGGGACTCGTGTGTAGGGTGTAGGAGGATAGGGTAGGCAACTTGGAGGTAGTGATGGGTGGGAC